GCCTCGACCTCGGAAGCGTTACGTCGAGCGCAACGATTACGTTCGATTTGCGCTCTCAGGTCAACCGGATTCTCGGTTTGTTGAAACAACGAACGAGCTGCATGAGGAATTCTGGGGGCATGCCGGGGATGACTTTCAGCGACCATCTCCGGTTGACTCATTTCAGGCTGATTCATCTCTGCCGGCAATACGTTGTTCGCCGGTGGAGGGGGCGGATTATTGTCACGCGGCTGTGAAGTGGCATGGGACGCCGCTTGATTATTGTTATCCCTTTATATGGGAGGACCTTGCTGTCTCGCCGGAGTTATGGGAGCGAAAGGTTGTCCTGGTATTCTGTGTGATGGCCCCGGCATGGTTTGGGCCACCAAAGCAGTGAGTCTACGAGCAAATTCAGGGTTCTGCATGAGCAGGGTAATGTCTGGCATCACAGGTACTGGATTATGTTGACCATTTGGCGGTTCAACAACACGAACGGCACTTCCCATGGTTGTTGGATTGTCTTGTCCGGACTGCGACATTCTTGATTTTATGAAATGTGGTGTGTATATTTCGAAAATTAACTCCAAATATCTTATGGAGCCCTCCTTCTAGCGCCAAAATGTGGATAAACGGATTTAATCAACGTAATCAATGTAAAATTAACTCAAAGATTGCAAAATATGAGATTCTTATTGAAGATTTTGAAGTCGGTTACAGTACTGGGAGGTCGGTTTTTCAATGTACATCAAATCGGTAGACAATGAAATAGCCGAGGTAAATATATGAGTATTTGTAACTTTTTTGCCGAATCCTCGTATTGTTTTCGAAACTGCTATTTATAGTTATGCTTGGCACACTTCCCTAGACAAATCATTTCCGTTTTAATGACGATTTGACATCTTAGGGGCGGCGATGACGTAGATGACCTTTTTTAGGTAATGATCAGCATGGGCGCGCCTCTATCTGTGTGACGGGTGTCACATCTGTCGGATCGAAGTCGGTTCGTCTTATGACGTCGGTATTTGGATAAACTTTCAGTATTCTACAGCTTCCTGATAAACTATTCTTCAACCGAGTTGGTCTTTTCAAGGTTTTGACGACTTGCGTGGACGACTTTCGAAGATTTGCTATACCATCTACAAGTTCCGAGATCAGATTACCGAGATGCCATATATTCTGCTTCACGTCGTACAAGATCCAGTTCACGGGTTAGACTTCACAATTTCTTTAATCTAATCTTAATTTCAAGATATTCTATCTTGGTATCAACAAGGATCACTATCAGGTAAAATTGACACTTGTGTTTCTATTGCTGCAGGCAAAGGCACATTTATCCCAACTGAATCACTATCCTTTATTTCTGTTGAGAAGGGAAACTTGTTATCATAAAATGCAACATCTTTGGAAACAAAAATTTCTTTTGATTTCAAATCATATAATCTGTATCCCTTGACACCTGAGATATACCCCAAGAACACCCATGCCACTGCCCTCTCATCAAACTTCTTCTTGTGTGAGTGGTTTCTTTTGGCACAGCAGAGGCACCCAAACACCTTGAACATACTGTAAGTTGGTAAAGCACCATGAAGCATCCCATATGGACTTTTCCATCCTAACTTCTCACTAGGCAAGGTGTTAATAATCTGGACTGCATTGCCTGAAAAGATATGGACCTTGCTACCTCCAATATTGTCCTGTGCTTCCTTTCAACCACTCCATTTTGTTGTGGAGTATATGGACATGATCTCTGATGAATTATCCCTTTATCTCTCAGCAAATCAATCATCTCTTTGTTGATGAATTCTGTTCCATTATTTGACCTCACCTTCTTCACTTTCTCTTCAAATTGAACTTCCACCATGTTCAAGAAGAACTTAATGTGACCACATGCTTCTGACTTGTACTTCATAAGAAAGATCCAGGTGGCTCTTGTGTAGTCATCCACAATAGTCAACATGTAGACAACATTTGTAACTGATCTTTTTAGATATGGTCCCCAGACATCTATGTGAATTAGATCAAATCTCTTTTTGCTTTGTATGTGACTGAGAGGAAAAGATATCCTCACTGCTTTGATCTGTGACATATGTCACATGGACTCAAATTCTGATTCAAATGGTCACCCTTTAGAAAACTGAGGTGTTTAAGAGCTCCCATTGAACTATGTCCCAATCTGCTATGCCAAAGATCAATTTCCTTGTCCACACAGCTAATATTTTTCACTGCATTGGCATAATGATCTTGCCCCTCTATAATGTACAAACCTGCCATGACTTTTCCTTCAATGATGATTGAGCTGTTTTGGGTATCAAATAATCTGCAACCTTTACTAGTGAAGTTAAAACTCAAACCATTATCCTCTATCAGTTGCCCCACAGACAGCAGGTTGTATTTGAACTCAGGTACCAACAGAACATTCTTAAGCAATATCACATCATTCAGTTGTACTTCTCTAATTTTTGTTACTTCAAATTTTGAACCATCAGGCAAATTGACTATCACAGGTAAAGGAATATCTGTACTGCAAGTAACTAAATTGAGATTTGAGCAAATGTGTTTGCTAGCTCCAGTATCAACAATCCAGCTTCCTTTATTTAGTTTGCTAAAAAGTGAGAAGACATAACCTTCTGTGCCATTTGAGGATTCCACAAGATGAGAAAAAGTGTGAGTTTCTGCTTCTTGTTGCATTGACATGTATTTGGCCACCTCCTTTGCTAAAGTGCCAATATCTGGCATAGTGTCACTATGTGGAGACTTTACCTCTGAGTCTGATTTTGAGAGGTCATCACCTTCCACCATGTTTATATTCTGCCCTTGCCTTTGTTGCTTAAGTTCCTTATACCAATCTGGATAGTCATTTAGCTTGAAGCATCCCTGAACATCATGCCCATTATACCCACAGTGAGTACAAAACAACTTTGCTCTTTCCTCTTTGGACAGCCTTGGTGAGCCTCTACCCCTCCCTGCATTATTATAGACTTGTCCTCATTGACCTCTCCCACTGTTACCACGGCCAAAATCTGTCCCTCTTCCATAGTTCCCTCTAGCCATCATAGATGAGGTCTCCAAAGGATTCAACAAACCTGTCACCATGCTCTTTTGTTTTTCAACTTTCAACAACATTGAGTAGGCTTTGTTAACAGTTGGAAGAGGATCCATCAGTAAGATTTGATTCTTGACAGGTTCAACACTTCATTTAGACCCATGAAGAACTGTATAAGTTTGATTTCCATATCATTTTCAGCAATAGCTTTGCTCGAGCCACAAACACACTCTGGTAGTGATATAAGGCAGCTGTACTCATCCCACAAGCATTTCAACTTAGTATAGTATGTTGTGACTGTAAGTGTTCCTTGAGAAAAATTGGCTATCTCCTTCTGTAGCTAATACTTAAGAGGTCCATTACTATCACCATATCTCTCCGCTAATTCATCCCACAATTGTTTAGCGGATTTGACATACATGAAAGCTTCAACAATCTCCTTCGAAATTGAGTTCAAAAGCCAAGATATGACCATAGATTCTACCTTCTGGTACTGAATGTAATCATCTGTGTTTTGATCTGGAATCTCCACAGTTCCGTTGATGAACCCGAGCTTTGACTTTGCTGGTAGAGCTAGCTTCATCGCTCGGCTCCAGTGTAAGTAATTGGCGCCTGTGAGCTGATTTGTCACCAACACCAAACCAGGACTATCAATCCATGAAGAGCTAAAGGATCGATGTCTCTCGAGTAATTGCTGCGTACAATTTCTCTTCTATGCTCGTCTCTGTTGTGCGCCATTGAAGATAACTAAAGAAAACCTGCTCTGGATACCATGTAGAAATCAAAAAAAAAACAAAAAATATCTGGAATAATAGAAACTCAAGTAAATTTCTGTAACACCATTTTCATTAGCTCACAGCTTTTTTCAATGTTCAAAACTACTAAAATGAAGAAGACGACCAAGTACATATATTCCCTTAGCTAAGACACACCCTATCATAAAGCGACACGTGCAGGGAAAATAAAACAAAAGAAAAATAAAGCTAACATAACCCGAGCAAGAAAAGCGTGTCACGACTACATAAGTGACCAACGCCTTCAGTAAACTAAAAAATAAAACTGCCTTCATGAAATACCACATCCAGAAGCTGCATTAGCATGCTCATGTCAACAGTTACTTTCCCCTCCCGAACAGAAAGGCTGCGTCAAGGGACGACGAAGAACAGGCTGAGAAACAATGGCGAACGGCTGGTTTGAACGAAGAAGAAGGCTCGCGACGACGGGGACTGAACTGTGGCTCGCTGGACACCGAATGATGGTCGCCGGAAGCTGCCCTTCTCTGAGAACAACGGGATGCTGGGAACGGTGACGACTGAATGAATTTTCGGTGACGGAATTAAATTTATTTATTTATTTTTTTAACAGGGGCTGCGATTGAGAGGATAGAGAACAAAGAGATGAAGAAGAAAGGACCCCTGACTGAGTCTTATGTAGAAGTGAGAGTGAGATAGCGAACGTGCAGGGACTCACCAAAAGAATCGCAACCGGATTTGAATGAAGAAGAACCAGTCAGTTGACGATATTTCTCTGCTCAAAATCTCTCGCGCATAAAGAATTGTTTGGGCCAAAATAAAGAAAATGAATTTGGGCCAAGGCATTTAGCAAGGGTATTTGGCTATTTAATTCATATAGCAAATGGGCTGGAAAAATTAAATCAAAAGGGCCAAAGAATAGAAATCATTTGGGTTGGAATAAATAGCACAAACGGGCTATAAATAAATTCCAATTGGGCCGAAATCAATACAACGCGATAATAAGAATATTCCGATCGATACTATTGACGACGAATAACAAATAAAATAAAACTCGGATAATATATTTATATATATATATATATATTTATATATATATATTTAATACACACATTAAATAATAATAATAATAATAATAATAATAATAATAATAATAATAATAATAATAATTAATCCCAAAATTATTCATAAATAAACAGGACGCTACACAAATCAATAGTAAACACCTTCAGAGTAAAATCTGCGTCTTCCCTTGAAAAGAAAGAAGCATCTTTTGTCCTTGTCAACACCCAAAATAAACTCTTACCAGCACACACACACACCCAAAAGGATTAATAATAACAAAGGAAACAATGGGAGGTAAAGAAAGATAAAATAAAGATATTGGCCATCGTTCAAGCCATCATGGGTAAAGAAAACAATCCTGGGAACAACAAGAACTGAGAGAGGCCTAATTCATTTAGCCAACTCTACATAACATAAAAAAAAAAAAAAAATTGTTAATCAAACCTAAATAAATAAAGGCACACCCACACCAGACAACATGTAACTGAATCCAAATCTGCTGTCACAATTAACAAAGCATCATGTAGAAGTCTTATTATTTAATTTAAGTCAGACCTAATGAACACAAGTCACAGCAAGGCAATGCTGCTCTCCCCACCCGGTGGCTTGCGGACCCCTCCAAAGTAGTCCCGAGACTCCGACTTCCCATCCGCAAATATATTGCTTCCGCTCATCTCCCGAAGCTTGGCCGAACTCAGAGCCTTCTCAGCAGATGCAGTGGGCCCGTCTTCTCCCTTAAAAATGTTGTTCCCCGTAAGCTCGGAAAATTTCTGATCAGGAATTTTCTTGGATGTCTTCATCACCGATGGCTCACTTAAGCCACTGTTGGCCTGCCCATCCGTACCCTTTTAAACAAAATAGTTAAAATTTAGATTCAATACAAGCATGAATGAAAACCGGGAATATTTGGATTCAATCATTCATGCTTTTCCACTTTTTGTTAAAACATGGTACAGGTAATCCATGTTGAAGAGTATCAACACAATGAGTGTTTGTTACATCTTATAACTACGAATCCAAAGAAATTTTTAGGCATTGAAGGAGACAATGCATCGTACATATCTTTTTCCAATGTTTTGAGGCAGTGAAAAAGAAAACCCAAAGAAATTTCAAAATCATGCGAAAAATACCCTTGAAGTCTGATACCATCACCAAAAAACCATTTTTTAAACCTCACCGACCCACATTTAGTAAATATATTGGTTAGCTTTATTTTGATTATCCCAAACTTCAGGGTTAGAATTTATGTAATTTTTCCTTATTCTTTCTCCAGTTCACCTTAAATATCATATAAATAGATAGATAGATAGATAGATTGGCATGGATTGGAGATGAGAATATGGTCACTTACATTGTGAGATGTGGGTTCCCCAAATGTGATGCTTTCTCTTAAAGCCAATGCCCGAGCAGACAAAGGGCGAGGTTGAATTTCAGGGGGTGGAGCAAATATATCGTTGCCACTGAGCTCCTTGTTTTTGGCATCTGAAATTTGTTTCTTCAACTTTGCTTCCGATTCGCTTTCCAGATTCCCACTCAGCTCCCGCTGTTTTGCGACTTCCGGAAGAGTGGTAGGTTTCTTGAGAGAGACAGTTTCTTCTTCGCCGAATGAGATATGACTCACACCGGCCAATGCTTGCTGGGATATTTAACGCCATCAATAAGTTGTAGATATTGAATTTTCAGATGCATCTTGCATTTCGATTAATAATATTGGTAAGTAACACGAACCAGAACAAAACTAATAGTTTCTCTTGTAAACCAGATCAAAACTTAATAATTTTTGTAATTGTATCTTGATGATTAGTGAAGATTTCACCATATACCTGGTACATTCGCAGCCCTGTTTTGTTTGTTGGCGTTTGGCTCTCGTCCTCAGTCTCTGATGCTCCATTTTCTTCTTTTGGTTTAAAAATACCACTACCACTCATTTCCTTCATTTTATAGCCAGAGCATGGTTTCCTGGAAAATCCAAATGCCAGATGG